TATATATATATATATACAAAAACTTCCAAACTGGATTGAGTTTTTGAGTCACTAGTGTGTTTATGAAAAAATAAAATGCGGAAAATTTGCCTTTCTCTCTGATTTGCGTCCTATATATTAAGATCTCAACTGATAAATCATTGATGATATTAAACAGTCATGACAGTATATATATATATATATATATATATATATAAGAGAAAGAACAAAAAAATTTACAGTTCATAGCATTTACTTTTTTAAAAAGTGCTCAATACAAAGTAAAGCAAAATATTATAACTTTTTCCAATTTGTCATACATCTTTCATATATATATATATATATATATATATAAAACAAAAACTTTCTGGTCTCTAGTCATCAGATATGATAATGCAATTTAATTTATTGTCCCTCTTATCTTCAAAAAGAAAAATCCAGATGGATTTTCAGTTTTGTCTTTCATTCTGATCTGAAAAAAGCTGAACACAATACAAATCATATTGGCAAAAAGTTTCAGTTTTTCCACTTTTTCTTTTTATTGCCATAGAGAGAGAGAGAGAGAGAGAGAGAAAGAGAGAGGGAGAAAGAGAGAGGGAGAAAGAGAGAGAGAGCGAGTAGAAGCTGGTGAACAGAAAGTTGTTTGTGACTGGACTACAAAATGCCGGATGCATCAATCGCAGTGTGTTGCGTGCATTATGAGAACAGTCATAGCTGACAGATGGGATAAAGAATTAAAATATCCAATCACTATTATTCTTGGCCATCATGCAGAGGGGTATGATGTTGAAAGATTTCCCTCTCTTTAATGATCCTCAACTAAAATATCACTGATGATGTCTGCAGAATTTCAACCATATATATATATATATATATATATATATATATATATATATATATATATTAATATATTATCTATATATATATATATATATATATATATATATATATATATATATATATAATGAAATACATTTGTTTTGATGCTCTGGCAAACATCATCATGATGTTTTTAGTCAAGGATCATTATGAGATTTTTCATTCAACATCATATCAAACATATATATATATATATATATATAAAAACATTATTTGTCCTGAGAGGACAAACAAACATATATATATATATATATATATATATATATATATATATATATATATATATATATGTGTGTGTGTCTGTATTTTTTTTCTGCAGAATTTTAAAAACTTTTATACACAAATAGAGATTTACAAGCATGAATGATTTTAATATTGGTATATAATTATTGCTTTTAAAATAGAAAGATGATGTATTTAATATATTTGTTATTTAATAAAGAACAGAATGGGTTCTATAGCCTTGATTGGATACCAGTCTAGGAGAAGGACAACTGTGAATTCAAATCCGGAGCCAGAATCCCTAAAACAGTCTGATGTCATGTTTTGTTCTGGTAACCTTTTGTGACAGCACCAGTGATGAGACATATTGACCTCTGTCTTTCTCTGGGACAACAGTAGTAGCATGGTGAGAGGAGACATACTGCAGGGGCAACTGCTGATCTCTCATAAAAAAAACCTTGCCTGGGCCTGTGCTTTTGGGTACAGATCCATTGTCTCTTGAGACCACTGGATGACAATATATTTAAAAAAAAAAAAGAAGACATTTATGGTAAAAATAGATTTCTATTTTCAGATATTTTTGACAGAACATTAACTTGATATCCACTTTAAAATATGAAGTCATAAAAAAGGAATGATATACGTATGTGTGTGTGTGTTTGTGTGTGTGATTTATTGGGAGTGGGAAAAATTGGAGAGTTCTCTTTAAAATGCCAAGAATATTTTTAAATATCCTAGCCAAATAATATTATTGGTTGTGGTCCTCTAACAACAGTGAGTTACCTTCAAATAAACGATATGAGACTGAAAGAGAATTAATGAAATTAGCCTTTAACAAAACACTATTCTATCACTATTTCTATTGCAAATGTTTTTAGACGAGCACCATTATTTCGTTCCCCAAGCTCAGACCTTAGCAATTAGGACATGATACATCCTCAGAGTTGAATCATGCTAATTTTCTCTGTATTCCAGATATAAGGAGAAAGTACCACTCTGCCTTTTCCCAAGAACTGCCACTTCGAGAAATGGGCTCCCACATGAGTGCTTCCCTGAACACTATAATCTTAACCTCTTCAAGTCAAAGGCTAGTCATTATTTATTCTTGTAATCTTCTCTTCCTATTACCATTTTTTTAAAATCATATTACACACTTAATTCATCATTACATTTACAACTAACCTTCTAGATTGAGTGTTTCTTGAGCTTTGTATTTGATGAATTCTACTATTAACAAAAAACAAAGCAAAAAAAATTTAAGAAACTTAAAAAAATTGGACAGGTTGATACAGGCAGTTTTGTAGTGGTTTGTATAAATTTAATTTCAGAGAGAAAGAGAGAGAGAGACATATATATATATATATATATATATATATATATATAGTGTGAGAGAGAGAGAGAAATAAAGAGAGAATGGGGGATGCTGAGAATGGAAAAATGTGGGAGGTGAAGCTTTGATACATATATATATATATATATATATATATATATATATATATTATTATTACAGTATTATAGTATATATAACCAAGGTGGCCTTTAATTTAATTAGATTCATTCTTCCCAGTTAGCTCTTAAGCATAAGGAGGCCCCACAGTAGGTTTATATATATATATATATATATATATACAGTTAAAAATCCATAGGTAAATAATCCAAGTGAATCCTAATAATATAAATTATTAAAACTGATCCACAAAGAGAGCTCAATGTATTTATTATAACAGAGCATATAAATAATTAAATCACATATAAGAGAAATGCAAAAGTACCCTATATGTATAGCTATTTCATGCCACAAGAACTATGTTGCAGGATTTGTCAACACCAAGAGGTTAAGAAATCCTGCAAGGTAGTTCTTGTGGGGTGAAATAGCTAAGTATGGGTATCTTTGAAATTCTCTTATATGTAATTTAATTATTTATATATATATACATATATATTTCTAGCATCAATTGATTGTAATAAACAGAAAAATAATTTGTAAATATGAACGGATTATGCTAAAAATAAGCAGACTGATGTTTGTAATTCATTTAATCAGGCATGCCTACAAGAGAATTTGCTGCCTAAATACACAAATATATATATATATATATATATATATATATCCAATGCAGTGAGGACGAAAATAATATATAATGTTCTAATGTTCACAGCATTAATTCAAAAGAGGGCTTGATACCGATAGTAGTGCAATAATTTATCCCTCCTCCCTCTTTCATCGTATTACTATCTCCTCTTCCCACCTTTCCTCCCCAATTCCTCACTCTTAGAAGGCTTGGAAATGCTGTGCCTAAACTTTTGACCCGTTGTTATTGACAAGGAATCTTTCCAGTCTGCCCACCACTTTAACATCTCACCGATCCTTCGCCAAACGGCTATCAATAAGCACTATTGTTTGCACTCTGTCACCTTTTTGCTTTATGTATATTTTTTTCTCAGAGAAATGGTAAAAAAGGAAGTGACGTTTCACATACGGCTTGCTTACAAGCAGAATTGTTCATAACCATTTTTAGTTCTCACCTGTCGAGGTGAAATTGAAATGCACCAAAACAAAGTTGCATCTTTGTAGTGAGTAAATTGTTTTTGTCTATATGAAAAAATTATAATATATATATATATATATGTGTGTGTGTGTGTGCAAATTCAGATATAACTAAAAATATATCCGCAAAAAGACATTATAAAATAAAGTCAAAAGGAAAACTTATCTTAGCTGAAGCGTTTCGTCCTCTGATGGACTTTATCAAGGCAATTTTTCTCCAACAAGCAACTAAAAAATATTTCCAATTGGACCCTGCAGCTCTTATAGCCACCCACTGTTTATAACCCATGAATTGTCACTTTACCTCCACCCCTGCTCTCTTTTCCCTTTCTCTCATCCTCTATCTCTCTTACTTTCCCTTGCTCTCTCTTCTCTTAACCATATCTCCTTTTTTTCTCGCTATTCTTCACTCTCTCTTTCCTTTTCTTTCTATTCCTCATTCATCACTCCCCCTCCTCTTCCTTCTCCTCTCTTATTCTTTTCTCCCTATTCCTCACTCTCCCTTGCTCAATTTCCTTCTCCCTTTCTCTCTATTACTCTCTCTTCTTCCCCCTCTAGCCCTCTCTCTCTTTTTTTTCTCTCTCTCCCACTTCTCCTTCTCTCCCATTGATTGTTTTTGTTTGTTAGTTACAAAAATGAAAAGAATAAATTTTAAATGGGAGAGAATTTCTTTTTAAAAAAAAAAAAAAGTTTTCCCTTTGGGTTGAAATATTATTTTTTTTTTTTAAATGTCCTAGTGATTTGAGCCAGCCAATGTGTAGATGTTTCAGCAAAGGATTCTGGGAAAATCACAACTCAGAAAAATCTGAAAAAATTTCTTTTCTCTCCTAAATTCAGAATGATCAAATTTTCCAAAAAAAAAAAAAAAAACAAAGAAAAAAAAAAAACCCCAAAAAACCCCTTTCTCCCACATCACATTCTGGTCTTCAGCCATTTTGTCAGGGGCTCGAAATGCACTTTGCACCAGTTAGAAGGGTCCAATATCAGTTTCCATATCTTCCTCTTCTCTTAATTCTGTAAATTCATCATCATCATCATTGTCGTCTTCTTCTTCTTCTTCATCCTCCTCCTCATTATTTTCATCATCTTTAAGCTGTTCGGTTTCTTGGTCTGCCGTTGCCGGCAAAGGAGGGTTTAGTGGCTTTCCAGGTGGCTGCGTAGTGTGTGGGATGCTGTTGCGGTTGTGTCGACTTCTGCGCTTCGATCTGCGGTGAGGAGTGTCTGAAGACCTCCAACAAAGCCACGGCAGGCAGGTGTGGGGTGGATCAGGTCAGGATGTGTAGTGCCAGTCATGAAGGAAGCTGTTGAGGAAGTCAAAAGACGGCCGACGCTGGGTATTAACATTCCAGCAGGTTAGTGCCACGTTGTATACCTCAGTCGGACAACAGTGAGGACAAGGCATGCGGTAACCTGACTGGACATTTTCAAATGCTTCCTTGCTTCCCATACCTATAAGAGAAGGGTAGAAAAAAAGAAGAAATCTTTAAAAATTGCCGCAGAAGAATACATTGTATATAATAAATTTCTTTTATCCTTCATTGTTCCCTAAATGTCTCACAACAGCAAAATGTCAATTTAAAATGCCGTAATTTAATGATTATCCAATTTAAGGAACCACTCATGGATTTCATGGGTCATAACGAACTGACTTTTATTTTTTATTTCTACTGAATCAAGTGAGATAAATGTTGGAATAAATCTTTTATTGAGTCAAGGTTAAGTTACAAGATACATGTCAACATTGTTACTGATAAATTTAGGTGAAAATGAAAAATCTTGATGAAGTTTGGAAGGACGATTCTATTAAAGTAGGAAAAATTTAAATTGACTTTCCCAGACACCATAGCTCAGGACTTAGTGTTGGACATTGGGAGTCTGGAGACAGCAATACAGGACCGAACAGTGTGGAAAGGGATTGTCAATGGAGTTCCTACCAACCATAGAGAGATCGAAGGATGCTGATGATAAAATAAGACAAACAAAAAACAGTTAGGATACCATGACTGGGATGCCCGCATAGAAGAGGAAGGTATAATTTTATCTATATTTAAAGTTTTTGTGTTTTATGACTGGCAGATAAAGTCTTTGAAGTAAGATCTTCTAAGTGACATCCACTTGACTGAAAGTCCATGTTAAGTTAGCAGGTACATATCAACTTTGATCATGCCAAGCTGTGAGAGTGTTCACATCTCGTCTAGACACTGACGTATCCACTGCACATGCTATCAACTGATTCTATGAATAATGTCTCTTCCTGATAGATTGAATACTATATCCTCTTTTCTCATATACTTAGATGATACCAGTGCCAGAAATCGGTCATCCCATAAATAATATAAGTCAAATCATGACTTATATTATTTATGATAGATTGAATATATCATCTTTTTAAATGCCTAAGTATAACAATACTTATCAGGACACACCATAAGTAATGGCTCAACTCTGTCTATGATGGATTAATTACATTTTTCCTCATCTTTAATAACAAGATTATAATGAAACTTGCTATCGAATCGTTCCTTATGTTATTGTGAAACTATGTTTGGAACATCTACATAGAAGAAGAAAGTGGGATTTTATTTCAATCTCAAGTGTTTCACGGTTGGCAGATGAAGTCTTTCAGGTTGGCTCATACAAGTGGCATCCATTGGACCCAAAGGAAACAAACAAATAAATAAAAGAAAGCTTTTTAGGTCAAGTGACAACAAAGCCAAATATTTCTTGTTGCTGGTCTATATTAACAGTCACAATTGGGATTGAAATTGTCAGATCTGATAGCGCGTGTTTGTGTTGCCAGCCATGTGTTGTGATGTTGAGATGGATAGATTGTTTTCAGCTAAATTTATTTATTCCAGGACAACCAGAAACATACTTTCACTTTTACCAAGAAAGATTTGGAGCAATTTAAATATATTCAAAAATAGGATATAATTTTGTGCTTATTTCAAATGAATGTGATGCATGGCGCCTTCTGTGCAATAACCTGTTTTGATCATACCAGATTTAGCTGTGAGCGTTCACATCCGGGCTAAACTCTGACATATCCACCATACATGCTGTCAAGTAATTCCATGAATAATGTCTCTTCCTAATAGATTGAATACTACATTCACTCTTCTCATATACCTAAATGATACCAATGCCAGCAATCTGTCATTCCATAAATAATATTCAACGTCAAATCATGATAGATTGAATATATCATCTTCTTAAATGCCTAAGTATAACAATACTTCTTATCAGGTCAACTCGTAAGTAATGTTTCAAATCTGATCATGACAGGTTGTGTTACATTTTTCCACATCTTTAATAACAAAATTATAATAAAACCTGATATCAAATCATTACTTATGTTATTGTGAAGCTATGGTTGGGACATCCACAGAGAAGCGGCAGATAAAGTCTTTGAAGTCGGGTCTTCCAAGTGGCATCTGCTGCTCGAAAAGGTAACAAATAAATATAAGAAAGTTTTTAGGGTCAAGTGACAACAAAGCCAGACATAGATAATTTCTGGTTAGTGGTTGATAGTAACTGTCACATTTGGGAAGCTATCAGTCCTCGTCTGCTCATGATGGGGGACAGAATGTCTCTCAGGTAGGGATTGGGTTTGAAGTCATTTAAGATCAAGTGACAACAAAGAAGGACATTCATGATTTCCGGTGGCTAGATTATATTAACAATCTCAGTAGAGATTGAGAAAGTCAGTATTGGTCTGTCCTTGGCAAGGGACAGACTGTCCCTCAGGTAGTTCTGATGTCACCTGTTCATATTGTCAGCTACATGTTGTGATGTGTAGATGGATAGAAGGTTGGTAAAAGAGAAGAACTGAGTTGATTTTATGACAATCTCAAGTGTTTCCGTTCCATAGCTCGCAGATAAAGTCTTTGAAGTCAGGTTTTCCAAGTGACATCCACTGGACCAAAAGGAAACAAACCAATAAATAAATTTAAGAAAGCTTTTAGGGTCAAGTGACAACAAAGCTTGACATTGATGATTTCTGGTTACTGGTCTAATATGTCACAGTTGGGATTGAAGTTATCAGTCCTGGTCTGCCCATGATGTAGGACAGAATGTCCCTTGGGTAGTTTCAATAGCACCTGTTTGTGTTGCCAGCCATGTGCTGTGACGTTGAGATGGATAGAAGGTTGCTAAGAGGAAGCAATGAAGGAGAGAGTGGGAGGGATTACAAATTATATATATGACATATAATGTCGCAAATCTGAGCATGAGAGATTGATTTATATTTTTTCTCATCTTTAATAACAAAATTATAACAAAATCTGATATCAATTGATTACTTTTATTGTGAAATTACAATTGGGACATCAAATCCATTGCACTATATATATATATATATATATATATATATATATATATATTATATCATAAAGAAACAATTTATACAAAGAATTAAATAACAATGATAATGTGATTAATGGTGAAATCACTTTGCTAACAAGACTTAATGAGACATTAACTTACTATCAATTCCTTGAATAATAAAATCCTTATATTCCAGTTGATGTCAGATGGAAGACCCATGCCAAGTACTTTCAACAATTTCAAGCTGTCATCTTCAGGGTGCAATTTTCTGATACACAGGCAAATACTAAGATGAAATATGTGTACACCGAAAGATATTTTTTAAATTATGCTATTTATTGACAGTTGAATATAGGTTTTGGAGTGTGCAATGCCACAACACCAGAATTCTTGTTCAAATCGATCAAGTGAGAATTGTTTGATGTTTGAAGTTAAAATCCACAAAATTTTTCTTGTTATATGTACAGGGTGTCCCAAAATAATGTATACACTCTTTAAATATTAATAGTTAATCTTAGATTACTGTGATGTGAGAAGTTATATGGATGAAAATATGCAAAACAGATGAATTGGAAGAAGAGGGTCAGTTGAATACCCTCCTAGATCACCAGATTTGACATCCTTGGATTTCTTTTTGTGGGGGTTTCTAAAAGACAAAGTTTACAGCAGGAAACCTGAAACAATTGCTGAAATAAGAGTAGCAATTGAAGAAGAATGTGCTCAAATACCAGAGGAAATGATACTGGACGTTTGTAGGTCTATTTCTTCAAGATATGAAAAGTGTATTGAACAGAACGGCAACCAGTTTGAGGATTTGATTTGAACTCATCATTATATGAACATTCTGCCATTGCCCCAAGTAGCTTTTATCTTATTAAAGTTAATTTTCTGTGTTTTTTTGTATATTTTACTCTCAAATTCTTTAAATATGTATTCTTTCTCTTGTATTAATCTTATTTACAAGTCAAAATACATAAATTGAATAAGTTATAACGATTCAAAGAGTGTATACATTATTTTGGGACACCATATATATATATATATATATATATATATATATATATATATATATATATATATTAGAGTGCAGCTTATATTTTATATCATTTCATCTTAGTATTTGCCTGTGTATCAGAAAATTGCACCCTGAAGATGACAGTTTGAAATTGTTGGCATGTGTCTTCCATCTGACATCAACTGGAATATAAGGATTTTATTATTCAAGGAATTGAAATTGAGTTAATGGCTCATTAAGTCTTGTTAGCAAAGTGATTTCACCATTAATCACATTAACATTATTTCTTTGTTGTTCACATTCTTCTTTCCTTGTTTTCCTGGATCATATTGCTGACATATATTGTCCTTTCCGACCACTGAAGTTATTATTTAATTCTTTGTATAAATTATTTCTTTATGATGTAAAATATATAGCTGCACTCTCTCTATCTCTCTATCTATCTATCTATCTATCTATATATATATATATATATATATATATATATATATATATGTGTGTGTGTAACACCATTAAAGAATTGTAAAGAAATGCAATGGATTTTAGTGATATGACTAAAACCCCAATTCTATACTAACGCCAGATCACACAAAATATTTGACTCATTTTGTAGGCTGGGATCTTAATTTCTATATTCGTATATATTAAACAATCAGTGATATCATATGAAACGCACTGTAGTCTTTTAATTTTCAAGCAACAATGTTTATTGTCTGCTATGAAATTTTCAAGGCTCATTCCAGAAAATGATCAACAATATTTTCCCTCCTCAAAACATATTTAAAAATTTGGAAAATATTTATTAACCAATAAACCCCGAGTTTAGTAAAATCTAACTAATTGTTTTTTATATATATCTTTGTAATGTTAAGTTAGTTTCAGTCTTTCCATCAACCTTTCACCAGGGTTGTTTGTTCATTGTTATACAAGCTGAAATTCTCAAAGTTTAATTAATTACTTACATTTTTGCATATTTATTTGAGTATACTATATTACAAAACATAAGCAGTAGTATTAAAACAGCTCACTGACTGACTGCTAGAAAATTACACGCATACATAAAACTATATAAATACGTGATTTATATAGGCACATTCTATTTCCTAATGCAAATAAGATGTAATGTTGTAAAAAACAAACAAACAGAAATACTTTTGTGAAAAGTTGTTTTGCAAAGAATCTTCGCAATTCATTTCTTTCAATTCAAAAGAAAACTAATACTCAATAATAAAAATTTATTTAAATTTGTAGAGCCATGTTTGTTTGAAGTTCTCATTATTTTTTTGTTTATCTATGCATAAACTGCTACACACATACACACACACACACACATATATATATATATATATATATATATATATATATATATGTACAAATATTTATTGAGGAAGAGTGTTTAATTTTAGAAACAGAATGTTTTTAGATATGGACAATATAGTGCGAGAAAATCAAGAAATTTCCTTTAATACATTGTCTAGGCAGTTTCTTTCTGCGTCTGCCACCAACACAGTGCACATACTGATAAATCCTTGTAATAATACAGGGTGTAGCAGAAAAAACCTCCCACATATACCTTCCATAAATACATCCCACATAATGGTAAGAAATTAGTGGCAGTGGTGTCTTCATCTGGCCAATGCCCTACCATTATGTGGGAGGTATTTCTGTTTTACTCTGTATAAGCACACCACCCAAGAGGGAAAAGGAGAGTCTCCCACAGCCTTGCAAGAAGAAGAATCTATGTTTGAAGAGAACTCCCCAAGCCACACACTGACTTACTAATGTTATACTTACCATCATAGGGTTCCTTTCCATATGAAAATATTTCCATCAAGACGATTCCAAATGACCATACATCGGCCTTTGTGCTGTATTTGTTATATAACAGTACTTCAGGAGCCATCCACTTTACCGCCATTTTCAAACCTAGAACAAATAAAGAATGGTTTAATACAACAAGAAATCTTCAATGATTCTCTTTTTTTAAAATTCAAACAAAATAAAATTTTCAATAAAATGCAAATATTTATTTCTTTGCAAAATTTTGATACTGGGAAAAATTTCAGAAATACTTTCAGCCATTGAGTTATTCAAAAAAATTTCTAAAAATTATTATATCTTACTTATTTTTTTGCTTTTACTAATGTTCACCCAACACAAGCTCCAAGAGCCACTTAAGGTAGAGGGTTACTGTGTGGTGTTGTATGAGCGTAAGAAAAAGCAAGAAGTGAAGCAGTTATGCGAGAAAGATAATTGCTAACTCTAGACTTGAAGAGGCCACGATTTAATTCTTCTTCTTCTATATGCTGTGTTCCTTCAGCACGTAGGCGATCATGGCCCTCCACTTCCCCTATCCCTTGTAGCTCTCAAAATGTTTTGTCTTTTTGCTACTTCTCCCAAACCCTGTTCCGTCATCCACTTGCATAAGCCTGCTAGTATGTCACATGTTGCTTTCCCTTTTCTTTCTTTTCCTCTATCCGCCCTGTGAGTATCAGATTCTCCAAGCCCTCCTTTCTCATTACGTTCAGTCCATGGTATCCTTAGCATCTTTCTGTAGAAGCATACCTTTGAGACTCTCCAACATTCACTGCTGTAAAGAATAAACCACTACTCCTTGGGATTGGGAAGGGCGAATCGGACAGCAGGCAAACCTATTTATTCCTTTTGGCAAAGGAGAAAAATAAATAAATAGTGAATAATATTTCAAAGTTCAGGTGGATACATTAGAAGTATAGAGTTGAAATAGACTTTAGAAGGAACTGGAAACGCAATCCTAAACAGGAAACAAGGGATAAACTTCTACTCTTGTTTAAAAGATTGGGGAGGAGTGGTTCTGTAGCCTTGGATGGCAACTGCTCTACCGCAAATGGCAACCTACAGCGGGAAAAAATCTGCCTCGTCAGTCATGTATCGAAAGATACATGATTGCCTAAATGTGTATCACGCATGGCACATAACTGAATGACTGAGTGACTATTTCACAGAATTCTAACTAATTGCCAAGTCTCAATACTCCCCAATGATACCATCTCCTCACATCTACCGACAAAATATAGCACTACATCCTCCCAAACAATCAGTTTCTGTAGCATTTTTTTTAATCAGTTGACCCCAAGGAAGGTGATAATGCCGCTAAGACACAAGGGGATGCTTAGAGTGAAAGAGAAAAGACTTTAGAAAGAACTGAAAACCCTATCTTAAATACGAATCAAATGATAAGCCTCTAAAATTCAGGAGCAGTGTGAAGCGGACGATGAGCGAACCGATCTATTCATATTGAGAATAATAAGTAAATAAATAAATAGTAAATAAAATTTCAGGAGTTTAGGAAGAGACATTACAAGTACAGAGTTGAATTAGACTTTAGAAGGAACTGGAAACCAATTCCTAAACAGAAAATAAAGGATATCTTGCAAATTTAAATTCATAAAATCTACTTTGTACTTCTGACACCTCCAACTAAATTCTGAAAGTTTATTTATTATTTATTTTTTCCTCGATAAGAATAGATAGGTTTGCCTATCATCTGGCTGACAAATCTGGTCTTTTGAACAGGAGTAGATATTTATCCTTTGTTTTGTTATTTAGGATTTGATTTCCAGTTGCTTCTAAAGTCTTTCCATCCTCTTTCAGTCTCACTAACTCCTTGTGTCTGAGTAGCATTATAGCCTTGCTTGAGGTGAATTGGTTAAAAAAAAAAACTGAATTGAAGATTAGATTTCATGGTTTTGGGGAAGCCAGTATTCAGGTAAGTGACACACGCTGTTATAACTGCCTCCCATGTGTCTAGATGACTTCTTTCTGGAAGGCGTCTACCTGATTAGAGAAAGCAATCAGCAGTGCATTAAAAGAATTCCAATTTGAGGAAGTGATAAATAAATGCCAACAGACGCCAGACTGCAACGCTGCAACAAAAGAACGATTTGTTGACATGCAGAAACAAAAATAACATCAGCATTCAGCAGAAAAGAAAAAAATACGTTTGTTGTTATTGTTGTTGTTGTTATTGTTGTTGCTGTTGAAGTTGTATAAAAAATGAACGCATTTTCCCTGCGTGAGCTGGGAGGAAATGTTGGCTGTAAATGTCTGTGTTGTTGGCTGTTTTTTTCTTTTCTTTTCTGTAATGCAAGCATTATGCACATGTAAACATGCACATACATACAGACATACATTTTTATATATATGTAACATAAACCACTCACAGTGCTCAATGAATAACAGATGAAAAATTATTTTAAATTTTAAATTGATGCATATATATGTGCATGTGTGTAATCAATTCTAAAACTTTATCCAATCTATCAACTATTTATACACATATACATATGTATATATATATGTTTATATGTATATATATATATATATATATATTACTACTTATTTTACCAGAAACTATATATATATATATAGTTTTCTGGTAAAATAAGTAGTAGAATCTTTAATATTATTTGGCTTCAGTCACTTTCCCACTACCGTAACACACACACACACATATATATATATATATATATACATATATATATATATATATATATATATATATATATATATATATATATATATATATATATTCATATATTTTATGCTGTTGTTAGTGTTGACTGTTTAAGTTATATTTTATTTTTGTGTTGTTTTTTGAATAGGAGGTTCATTCAAAATTTGACTTTAAGACGAAACAAGACTAAACACCTCAATTCAACTTAATTTCAATAATTATTTGGATGATTTCGGCTCTCGTTTTTGAAACATGAGAACTCTTATGTAGCAAAGGAATCATATTTTTTAAACAAAAAAATATTATTATAATAAAGCTCTACTTCTGTATGGAGCACTGTCTTCTTAAAAATAAAAACAAAAATACTAAGGAACCCCGGATTATGCACCCAACGTGTTCTTTTCTATTTTCTGCATACCTGCGCACTTATATATATATATATATGAATGAATACATTACAGTTAAAAGATAAAGGAGGATATTTTCACGAGAACAGAATTTTATCATAAAATGTCTCATGTATAATAATTTTCTCTTATTTAAAGTACAAAATATTTACTTTTGGGACCAATTTAAAAAATTATCAGAGGCCTCAATCAGGTAGCCTCAAACTTTTGAACTGTAGTGTAGATATATGTGTGCGTGTGTATGTGCATTTATTTATGTATCAACACACTCAAATGTGTGCGAGTGTGTATCTATGTACACACATACACACATGTATGCATCTCTGTATACACACACACACACACATGTATACATATCTGTATACACATACATAAACATGTATCTATGCAGACACACACTCAGATATATACGGCTAATGTGTAAATGATGCTGAAATAAAAACAATTTTTTCTTTTATTTTTTAATTTATAATTTGTTCAATTTCCTAAAAAAATGTTACACTTTATACTTTCCCCAAATAATCTTGCACTCGAATATAAGAAGACCTGTAGCTGAAAACACGAAGATGTTGGTCCGCACTGGGTCATTGCAAGTACTTAATATCATAAATATAAAATCTCGATTGTGTAAAGGTTTGAAGTCCATTTGAAACAGGAAATTCTCTTTTAACTGGTTCCACATTGGAAATGTCTGATGACAATAATTAAAATAATTAGTAATAATTAAAATGCATCATTGAAGAAAGAAAGAAAAAAAAAAAAAGAAGGCAAGGCATGGGTTGATGCATCAGCACCAGAATGACCTCACTTTTATCCCATACCTCGCCCAGTTCCCTACTGTGAAATGACGCAGAATTTATTTGTGAGACTTCAAGGAGAAATATTCCATCCATTACCCATGATCCTCTTGGGCTTGCAGTGAAAAAGAAAAAAAGCATACAAATAGATCACTGTAAAATGAATGGACTCCAAATTTAAAACACTTCAGCAAATTCTGACATATGTGTTATTATTTAAATTTCATTAATAGTATTAGAAGATGGATGGCTTAACTGTTGTTAGTGCGGAAAATGGAGGCAACAGCTTGAGTTCAAACTCTGAATCAGGCTATTGCATTCACTTTCGCATATAGGAGCTTGTAATCAATCTCTCTCTTTCCCTCTTTCAATAAAATTGTAATATGAACTATGCTCTCTAGGGCAACCAATTTAGGAAAAGGAAAACTGAATAAAAGGCAGTGGGAAACTACTCTAGTGCCTTCCCAAATTACAACCAAGCAATTCACAAATATTAAAGAAGGAGGAAGCTGTGGAACTTCTTCATGTTAACAGAAATGTTATCAGTCAGCTTCGGAAAGTGCTTGAAAATCATGCCACAGTTTGACTCAAGCCTTGTGAGTGAAACTGTCTAGATGGAACTGTTTGGGAGCCTTCAATAGTTGTGCTAGCACAAAGTCATAAATCATTGTGACTGCGGGTTCGAGCATACTAGTGTTGTTGAAACGGCTCATCATGCCAGATTATATGATCTCTTCCAGAAACTGTGTTTATGGTTCACTCAGCATAGTTGCAGTATAAATGATAGTATATTCTTTTAGGGAACTCAAACATGTAAAACAAACATTGGGTAATAATAATTTTCCCAACTACGTTATTGATAATCAAATAAAATTATTTTGACAGAAATTAAACAGCACTAACACTAAAACTATAGTACAACAAATATTGGTCCTGGCATCACATCTCAGCTTTGGTCACGTTTCCACTGCCATAATGTAGCTTCCCTGTGCTTTTTCTATAAATAATTTCATGGTAATTGCTCTGATGAACATTTCTCCATGATATTTGTATTCCCATTCAATGCCAGTTGTCTCAGCTTCAGCCACTTTTCTCCAGGGTATTTTTATTCTCATTCACTGCCTGTGGTCTTGGTTTCAGCCACTTTCCTCCATGGTATTTTATTCCCATTCCATACCAGTGGTCTTGGTTTCAGCCACTTTCCTCCATGGTATTTTATTTCCATTCAATGCCAGTGGTCTTGGTTTCAGCCACTTTCCTCCATGGTATTTTATTTCCATTCAATGCCAGTGGTCTTGGTTTCAGCCACTTTCCTCCATGGTATTTTATTACCATTCCATACCAGTGGTCTTGGTTTCAGCCACTTTCCTCCATGGTATTTTATTTCCATTCCATACCAGTGGTCTTGGTTTCAGCCACTTTCCTCCATGGTATTTTATTTCCATTCCATACCAGTGGTCTTGGTTTCAGCCACTTTCCTCCATGGTATTTTATTTCCATTCAATGCCAGTGGTCTTGGTTTCAGCCACTTTCCTCCATGGTATTTTATTCCCATTCCTTACCAGTGGTCTTGGTTTCAGCCACTTTCCTCCATGGTATTTTATTTCCATTCAATGCCAATAGTCTTGGCTTCAGCCACTTTTCTCCATGGTATTTTTATTCTGCCATTATTTAATGAACTATTCAGATTAATATTACTATCTCCGTGGTTTTGATCAATAACCAATTGTTGCAAAAATTGGTTGGAAGCACACGCAAGAAACAAAAGGTAGTACGAGTCCAGTTGGTTCACTAGGAAAAACAAATTCACACTTCTTGACTCAATCTCCAATACACCACTCACCGTTCTGAATGAAAATCTGAACGCCTGTTAAATGAGCGTGCCATGATTTTATACACCTGACCCAGCCAACACTCAGCCAACAAGTGCCCAGAAACAGCCAATAAAAATGGCTACAAGCAACAACATCACCACCATCAGTACAAAGTACTGTCCAATTCACAGTCTGTCTAAAGCTTGTCGTTTTGCCGTCTTGACACTCTCTTGCAAAACATACACATGACTTTGGCCCTTTTGGGTCGGCAAGGTAAGTCACTATTACACCAATGGATGATGGACCAGAAATCTGACAAACTTAGTGGTCCTTGATGAAAGGGGGGAATTTTAAGGCTTTGCAAGGTCAGATTTAAAGTATCTGGATGTTGTATTTTCACCATGCTATAATTTGGCAATAGACCTTTTGAGTTCAATAATCTTGGAATATAGGGAAAATAGGCCTGGGCAAAAACAGTTTCACATTTTGTCATAGACGATATTAGAAATATTAGACATTCTGAAATGTAGGCAGATAGGGTAAAAAAAAAACAAAATGGTCGAGTATGAAAGCATGAACCAAAGACTAATGGTCAAAGTAATAATTAGGATTGACTGACTGACTGGACTCTCCCATCATTATTCGATGTATGAGGGTCAAGCAACTCTGTTCCTCAGAACTGACAGCCAGACATCAGCACATGAGATTTGATTATAGTGGTAAAGGCTTTGTGCAGAAGCAACCACATTTTTGAAGGGCCAAATACAGAGACCTGGTGCACTACATGCCACAAGGTCACCAAACAACCCTCCGCAGATCTTGAATTCAGAGTTATCCTTCTCCTAGACCACTTGCCATCCAAGGCTACAGAACCCAGTATGTCCTGCTATTTACCTATAACTAGGGGGAGAAGAAGAGTATTAATACATTTCCCAAGGCTATTAGTGCATAACTGTATGCAATGGATTCAACTGGAATTTGAACTCAGCTCTTCGATTCCTCAATCCGAGCCGCTATCCATTAATCCACCATGCAAAAGGAAGTCTGAATAATTCCTCAAGAGAGACTTTGAGGAACAGTTTCTGAAAACAAAAACAAAAAATTGTTCCAATTTCTTCAAACTAACCTTTCCTGAAATTATAGTCAGGGTCATCAGCCACTTTGGTCATTCCAAAACCAGCAATTTTAACTTTGTTTTGGTCAGCAACAAGAATGTTACGTGCACCCAAATTTCTGTGCACAAAATTCTCCTTTTCCATATATGCCATTCCGTCTGCAATCTGAAAGGAAATAAAAAAAATTATCTGTCTATATTTCTGAGATGAGGTATTATGTACACTATTTACATTATTCGGACTATTGTCTTCATCTTTGTCGCCATATTTATTACAATGTTTCAGCCTTTCAGTATCTGTCTATATTTCTGAGATGAGGTATTATGTACACTATTTACATTATTCGGACTATTGTCTTCATCTTTGTCGCCATATTTATTACAATGTTTCAGCCTTTCAGTATCTGTCTATATTTCTGAGATGAGGTATTATGTACACTATTTACATTATTCGGACTATTGTCTTCATCTTTGTCGCCATATTTATTACAATGTTTCAGCCTTTCAGTATCTGTCTATATTTCTGAGATGAGGTATTATGTACACTATTTATATTATTTGGACTAATGTCCTCATCTTTGTTGCCATATTTATTACAATTTTTCAGCCTTTCAGTATCTGTCTATAATTCTGAGATGAGGTATTATGTACACTATTTATATTATTTGGACTATTGTCCTTATCTTTGTCGCCATATTTATTTCAACGTTTTGGCCATTGTACGTTTCTGGCCTTCTTCAGATGGTTGGAATGTCGAACTGAACCCTTTATTTCACTCACTGGGGTAGACTGTTCTAGTTCTACATACCATGTTTAATGGATGTCAGTTATCTTCTGTTAATCCACCTCTCCAAGTTCTCCACTGCCTTAACCAGGTATTAAACTCATACTATTTGGGTCCTGTCACTGGATCTAACTAACACCTTTATCCACTGCGCCATGGCACAGTGGATAAAGAGTGTGAGTTCAATACTGGGTTAAAGCAGTGGAGAACTTGCAGAGGTGAATTAACAGGAGATAACTGATAACTGCCATCCGTTAAACATGGCAACTTCAATAACTGCAAATAAATGTATTTTTAAAATATCTCTACTTTCACAAACGCTTCATGAAACTAAATATAAACAGTAAACATAACAAGGTTGACCCAACGGGTCATGGGTGGTCTAGTATTTAAATTTTTGAAGACCAAAGTTATTATATTACTATATAAAATATATTGTAGTACAGGCATATTGACCTTGACTTGTATAAAAATACGTATGCTGTTGGCACATGATTTTAAAACCCTAAGTCAGCACATAGTTAGCAAATGGTTGCTGACCCCTGGAGCATAGCATAAGGAGTTAGGTACTTACTGGAGTGTTACAGTAAACTAACCATTTTTGCTATGCTTTGGGTGAAATGATTAAAAAAAAAAAGAAGTAAAATACACACATGGCTGAATGTAAGGGACATTGTTATAACTGCCCAGTCAAGGCTGATAATGCCATACAGTTATCTCCCTTAGCTGGCTCTGCCATAGCAGACATCTTTTTTTTTTCTTTACTATGACTTCATTTTGTTTCATGTTTGTGTTATTTACTGCAAATGTCAAGAGAAATTATATCTGATGAACAATCATTGAATAATAAATAAAAAATGAAAATCATTCTTTAATAAAAAGGGCCATGTGGTACATGAACATTACAAAGATAAAACATAAAAGGAATTTCAAATGTTTTCCATTACAAAGCACTTCTCAAAGTTACAGACAATTTATATAAGTGAATCACACATTTTATAAGTTAGCTCTCACAGAGTGATAATGAAATAAAACTTGTCTGAAGAATTGTATAGCAGGCCACACGTATTCAAGGATACCCATCTACTAGAGCTGCTAACCAATCCCTATTGCAGATTCTTGCTCAGGCTCATTTGTATTTTCTTCCCATTTTGTATGTCAAAATGTCTGCTTTTATTAGATTGGGTGAGGAAATTGGTGTTTTAGACAAGTTTATTATTGGTACATTACAAATCCACTAGATGTGCTAGCACAAATTGATTTCGTGTCAACGTGGCTGAGGGCTTGAGCGTGCTGGCCTTGTTTAAATTGTTGATTACACTAGATAACACGCTCTCTTCGAGAAACTGTAACTAAGGTCTGCTCAGTATAGTTGCAGTATAAACCACATGTGGGCTCTGTGGGGGTTGAATAAACACAAATGTGCCTGAGCAAGCGTCTGCAATAGGGATTGTTTAGCCACCTTAGTAGATGGATATCCTCGAATATGAGTGGCCAGCTATACTATAATAATGTCCAGACAAGGAAAATATTGGATGCAGGGAAATATTTTTGTGTTAAAAAAATATTTTGTTCCTCATCAGTAGTGGTTCCCAAATGGTGCGGCGTACCTCATAAGAGTGACGGAAGAGGATAGAAGGTGAGGCAGAATGATTGAAAGACAATCAAAGATTTAGAAACAGTTTCATATGCCAAAAAATGAATATGATTTCAAAATTTAAAATATTATGGATTACTTGCAAATAAATGCAAGATTCTCAGTATAAATAGTTATGAATAATTATTGACCAATTTTATCATTGTGATATTTTGCATTGGTTCTTGAACATCTCACATGTCAAACAAATTGGTTTTTGAACAGAAAATTCAAGATGAAAATGCCTTGGTTATTGAAGAAAATTTTGGTTTTCAAACAACACTGCTGAACTGAGTTAGCCCAAATGAAATAATTTCTAAGTTGACTGTGTGTTGAGTTGTGCTTTTCTTTTCCAATTTTATTTTTACTGTGACTCTTTTTCTTTCCTCTTGGAAAAATAGTTTCAGTTTACGAACATTTCGGGTTATGAATGGCCTTCAGGAATGAATTAAATTCATGAACCGAAGTTCCACTATATTAAGAATATAGTAACTATGATCCACAAATTGGAGGAGAGAGTTATCAATGACTAGCAGTAGACCCCGGCATTGCCCGGGGATGCAACAGTAAGAGATAGATCAAGTATCGACCATCATAAAGACTGAAAAATAAAATTGACAAAGATTATTGTTTAAGGTTGACAGACATGCATGTCTTAATTAGTTTTTTTTTTTTTATTTAATTGGTCAAACCCAAACTCAAACAAAAAACACTGTTTTCAATCGTTATGAGTCTATCGATTGAATAGAATTTTATTATAAACAATTGTCTTGTAAATGGAATTTTAAAGCATTCTGAATGTAAAAATAAAGAAAAAATGCAAGACAATAAGAAACACTACCTGCCAAAAAGAAAGTGAAGTTTTGTTGAAATCGGTTGAAAAATGTAAGAAATCCGATCCCATATATAAACGAACACACACACACACGCAAATAACCTGGGTTTTATAATAAGTATAACTCGATATGAGTTGTCCCCCTTTCATTCTCGAAATAGCGATGCCTCTTAATTTTGTTTTCAAATTCATTTCATGCAAAAACAATTGTGTTTTTCCAATTTTTGGTGCTGTCAGAACCACCGCAAGGTAATTTTACGTAGCCCTGTGAAGTTTTGTTGAAATCGGTTGAAAAATGTAGGAAATCCAATCCAATATATAAACGTACAGACACACACACACACACAACCTGGGTTTTATAATAAGTAAGATAATGTTCTGACTTAAAATCTTCAGTTATCTCCCTTTTTAAATCTACTTTTTATCACATAAAATTTGGTGAAGCACGAGCAAATTTTCATTCCAAAAATGTGGCCCAGAGAGAAAAAAAGTTTGGGGACCACTACTCATCAGGAAAAGTGTTTCTTATATGCTATCAAATACTGTAGGTTATGTTTCCAAGGTGAGATATCCAAGATTTCACCAAGTTTTCTTCGAAAGCAATTTTGGTTTCTTTGTAAGTCAGTAAAAAGAAGCATTCCGGTATGTATATAAGTAACAGCTTCCTAACAGCTTTGGTTACAGTAAGAGGTTTTTAAATATGGTCAACGGTGCAACAACTTACCTGAGCAGCAAGCCAGAGAAGACTGTTGACCCCTAATTGTTTTCCTTTCCCTTCACGCAGGTACTGTGAAAGGCGTCCGTTGGGCATGAATTCGGTCACCAGATAAACAGGTTCGTCGCTGCACACTGCCAACAACTTGATTATATTTACATGCTGGATCGTTTTCAGGATCTGGGCTTCGTCCAAAAAGGCAGAGGTCGTGACACAGTCTTTCTTTTGCATCTTTACAGCTGCCTCCACCTGGTTGTTCCACTTGGCTGTAAATATGGTGGGCAAAAAGGAAATGAAAAGGTTAGGGGTCAAAATGGGGTGAGATCAGAGAGCATTTAGGCTGAGGCTAACAGAAAGATGATGTTAAAAAAATTAAAAGTAAATATAAAGTTTTTACTATTAATATTTTTTCATAGTAAATATCCACTCAATATAAGGCTCAAGAGCCACTCACTGTAGCGAGTTAATTAGTAAGGTTGGATGTATATGGAAGAAGTAATTACAGACTCTGAGGCACATAGGATAGATAACAGCTGACCATAAACTTGAAGGGGTTAAGACTGTATAGTCATCTGGGATGCATCCTCTAGGGAGTCTCTTCCATAAATTAGCAGTTCTCAGGAAGAAACTGAGTGGAACTTGCTTCTTACCAATAGAATATAGGGGGAATGAGGATGATTTGGCCCTGTGTACGGGGCATGGTATATACAAGTTGTAAAGGTCTAAACTGGTAGAACTAAGGAATGGCTGCTTGTCCAAACATTCGACATTGAAAAATCGATAGACTACCAAAAGGCTTGCAAGGTTTTGTCTGAGGGAAAGGGGTTGTAGAATTGAAAATAATTAATC